AAAATTCAATGGGCTTGGTAAACATTCTTATCCTAAATCAACTGACTCCGTAGAATGGAGCTGGAGCTATAATTTCGAGGTAGCAATGGGAGCTGATGGGGAAGGTCCTTGGTCCACAGAAAACCCAGGCGTGTGACTGAGCGGTGACCTCAGCAGCCACCGGGCTGTGGAGACACCACGCCGTTACTGGGGCCGACCAACAGCCAGCAGTTTCCGCATGCCCGTCAGGAGGTATGAAAAACAGTGTATACATTTTTTAATTTAGTACATTTTTGCTGCTCAATAAATGTATAATAATAATAATCACATTTTTATTAGACACTGCACATTTATGAGCGAGCTTGGTGGTCTCTTTGGGCCTCTGCCAAGGTCTAATGGAGCTTTCTTAGTTGTTCAGCCCTCACTTGGGTCTCTCTCTCTCTCTCTCGCTCTGTCTTTTTGCATGCCGTGAGGAAGAAGGGCATACCTTTCTAGAATAAAGCAGAAGTAAAAGGGATGTCTCTTATTTTAACTGAGAGCCGGTCTGTCCCAGCTTCTCCAAGCCGAGAGCATTCTTCTAGAAAATACCGTGCTCCAGAAGAAAGTTGAGTACAAGAAAATCACCCAGAAGGGAGAATAAAAGCATTAGCTTTACTCTTTTGTCCAAAACTTGGTTTCTGATCTCTCAATGTTCACGGACTGAGAAGGCCCAGCGAAGCCCCACTCACCCTTAGTGGCTCCTCTGAGCTTGGTGCAAAGGCACCGCACCCCTTCTCAGAGACCAGGAATGAAACGTGGTTGCAGGCAGAGTTACGGCCGTAACAGCAAGGCTCGTGAGTGTACAACCCCTTGAGTGCGAGAACTTTGGAAGGAAGCCACACAAAGTGTTCTATAGGACGTGTCGGCTTCTCTTTTCATAGGTAGGCAGATGGCTAGGAGGTGTACTTCGACAGCCCTACAACTAGCCCAGGTGTGGTTAGGAGAGGGAGTTAATTTTTTGGCAGAAAACTTTACAACAGTCGTCAGATATAAACAGGTTTGGGACACAGAAGTGTGAGAGAGGGACAGATATTCATTCGGTCATCAAACCTTTATCAAGCACTTGATGTGGACAAGCCCGCTTTTGGAGACTTCGGTGTATCAGGGGATAGAACAAGGGCCCAGAGCTGGCAGAGCTCACACTTGGGTTATGCTCTGGAGAGTATTTGGCACAGTAGGAAGTTGTGGAAAATGATAGGCTTATAGAGTTATAAGAAATCTGAAATATTGAGTAAAGTTGAAAGGTGAGGAAAATGAAATGAGGAAACCACTGTCACTTTTCTTGGGAAGAGCAGTTAAAGTAAGGCTTGCTGATGTAGCATTCAAGTGTATGAAGAATTGTACCTGGGGACCTCTTCGAGAATAGTGCAAAATGAACCAAGCCAAGTGGCAGGAAGGAAGTGTAAACCCCAACGCATGAAAGAGTGACAAGAGCTGGAATGTCAGAGGGAGCGAAGGCAACGAGGTAAGTGACACTAATCTTCCTCCGCGAACCTGCAGGGCCGGCTTCTCCAGAGAAAGAGAATGCAGAGTGAGTATCTCTCATCCGAGATGCTCTGCACCAGCAGTGTTTCAGATTTCGGAATACTTGCAAGTATGTTGTGACATGGCTTGGGGATGTAGATATAAAGTTCATTTGTTGCCTGGTAACCTTACACATAGATCTTGAAGCTAAATGTTTATCAAAATTTTTAATAATTTCATGCATGAAATAAAGTGCAATTTTGCACTTGAGGCATCATATTGGCACTCAGAAAAGTATCACATTTTGGAGCAGTTTGGATTTCACATTTTTGGATTAGGGATGCTCAACCTGTACACGCCGTGGTGGACTGACCACTGGTGGGCAACCTGTAACCCCAGCTGGACTGAGTCGCCGTGGTGCTGGGTGTGGGGGGCCCACGTGAGGATTGTTGCCAGCAGCATAAAAAGGAGAACTGGAGATGCAGAGGAGCTGTTGGTTCTCCTGGAGGAGCTTGTCATGCTGGCTTTCCTGATGAACTCGGCTGTTCCCATCGCTGGAGGGCTCGGGTCCTTGGTGTCGCTGGGAATGGCTGCAGTTCACTTCCGGGGAGCTCTGGTCCTCACTTTGAGCATCACTTCCTGGCTCTGGAGGGGAACATGGTGCACTGTTCATTCTCCTGGAGAAGCTTGTTGCACGGGCTTTCCTGATATAGACTCGGCTGCTCTCGTCACTGGAGGAGCTTGGGACCTCACTGTCGCTGAGGATGGTTGTGGTGCTTTTTGGGAGAGCTCTGGCCTTTATTTTAAGCGTCGCTTTCTGGCTCCAGTGCAGATCCCCAGCCTGCTAGCACAGATCCTTTATCCTGCTACAACAGACTTTCTAGCTCCACTGCTGTCCTTTGGGCCTTCCCTATGCAAATCCTTGAAACAGACTTGCACGGGACATTGCTGTGGGCTCTAGGCCTCCAGTTGGACTGGTCGGGGGCACTGTGATGGGCTCTAGGTCTTCAGCTGGACTCGTGCAGGACATTGCTGTGGGATCCAGGCCCTCAGCTGGATTCTTTGGTCTTTAGTGTGTGGACAGATTTCCTGCACTCCTTTGTACTTGACTCTTTGGGTGACTACTATAGAATAATCCTGTAAATTACGTGTCCTGTGTTAAATTGTTTTCCTTGCAAACCCTGACTACAGCACACACAGACACACACATAACACACGCATGTGTATGTCTGTATGCGTATTTACTATAACACATTGGATCGTGTTATTAGGGAGCCTGAGAAGCCCCAGGATCTGCAGCTGGCAGGCTCGGACCGAGGGAGCTGCAGGTGTAGTTCCAGCCCGCGGGTGTAGGACCCAGAACCAGGAGAGCTGCTGCAGTTCTAGTTTGAGTTGTAAGGCAGAAGACTAATGACTCAGAAGAGAATTCTTTTACTCTCTCCAGGCCTTCGGGGGACGGGTGGAGCCCACTGCATCAAGGAGGGCCGTGTGTGCGCTTTCCTCCGTGCACTGATACATGTGTTAACCTCACCCCAAATAACATGTGACCAAATAGCTGGGCACCTCATGGCCCAGTCAAGTTGGCATATAAAATTAACTATCCTACTTGTAAGGAATCATTAAGCTTTATTTATCTTTAAATCTTGAAACAGCTGTAAAGTTATTTAATATAGTAAACCACGAGCAGTCCTGGGCATCTAGAGAACAAAAGATCCAGGGCACAGTGTTGATTTTTAAAAAGTAAGCCATGTAACAGTATGTTCCCACCTAAATAAATGACCTCATGCATGTTTTTTGGTACTTAGAAAATGGTCTGGAAGGGTACACACGGCACCTAGGTGAGTGCCACTGGCAGGGTGGGAGAGCTTGCTTACTCATTTATTTTTTACCTCTTTCACGTCTGAATGGTTTGAAACTTTTACAAGCTGGTATTCCTTTTGCAGTACCCTCTATATTTTCTATGTAGGCATATATTTTACCAGAAACCAACAGTTTTTTTCCAATGTGAGAGCTGTTCTGGTTTTAGTAACCAGTGACATATACAAGTATTTATTACACACTGATTTAGTACTTACCAATACACAGTATTAGCTATTTGTTAGCTTACTTTTGGCTAGCTGAAGCAGAACGTTTCTCAGGAGGGAAAAGGACCCTCCTTTATCCATGGGAGAATCTTATTTCCTGTGTCCTAATGTCTTCTCATTTCATTGAGCTTGGATTTCTTCAGTGGGGAGCAAGGGTGGGGTCCCCAAAGAACCTCTCTGGGGTTGTGTCCAGGATGGGAAGGCTCCTGTTCAGAGGGACCTCCTCCCGCTTGGCATGAAAATCCTTCTTCTCCATGCCCTCGTGGTCCCCCAGAGCTGGGGGTGGGAGGGGGCACTGTAACTGGCAGCTCGCTCAGGTACGTACTCAGCACTTGGAAGGGAAGCAGGCGAGTGCACCCGGGAGCTGCTTACCCTTGCTTTGCGGACCACTGATCACACCTGCAAACTGGGTTGTTGCCTGTGGAGCTTTCAAGAATGCACGGAGGTGGATGAGCCCTGCACCTATTTACAGAGTCTTTGAGAGTGGGTCTGACTCTCAGAGGACTCCGGTGCTCCAGCAGGTCTGCAAACCTCAGGGTAAGAAGAAAACCAGGTAAGAGGAGGAGAATCCATCTGCAAGAACGGCAACAGGTGTAGCAAGTGAAAAACTCAGTAGTGTGGGAGTCTGTCTGTGTTCCCTAATCGTTACTCAGTAGCACTTGGAGTGTGTGTGAGAAGTATGGGTGGTTAGGTCCTCACCCGGACACGGGGAATGGGAAACTTTTGGGGTTGATCTAGGATGTGCATAATTTTGTGTTTTTTTAAAGTTAAGAAGTAATTGACACATGATTGTGTAGATGTACGTGTACAGTGTGATAATTCAGTAAGAGTATACAATATGTAATGATCAAATCAGGGCAATCGGCATAGACACCACCTCAGATGTTAACATTGCTTTGTGTTGGGACTATCTGAACTCTTCTAGTTCTTTAGAAAATATACACTAACTAGCTGAATATTATACTCACTTGTACCGTGCTGGGGAATGCACATTTTAAATAAGGATCCTAGATGAATTCCAGGGAACATTCTAGAACTCCTTGTCCATGAACAGTGGTTAGCGGTGGCTTCTTCTTTTTTCTTTTTTTTTTGTCTTTTTGAGACAGGGTATCGCTATGCAGTTCAGGGTGAATGTGAGCTCACTTTGTAGCCCAGGCTGGTCTCAAACTCACAACAATCCTCCTGCCTCAGCCTCCGGAGTGCTGGGATTACAGGTGTGCACCACCACGGCCGGCTGACGGTGACTTCTTACTTGGCAGCCAGCTGTGGGAAACTGCTCATGCAGGGGAGGGAAATTCCTTTTTCCTCTTCTCCTGATTATTAAAAACAAACTAACAAAACAAATAATTATTATTATGGAGAGTACAGCAAAAAAGGAGAAATAATCACTGGTATTTTTCCTTCTCATGTTGATAAAGGGAGAGATGTGTGTATTAAAGTTATAGTGTTAATAATAGTTTGTAACTAGATTGCTTTTCTATAGATACTATATTGTAAGCCATCTCAAAAGTCAATAAAATATTTAAAACATTACTTCTAGAGCCTGCCCTCCATCCTAGTTTATGGAACACTTCCCTACCACCATCCAGTTCTGTTGTTTTTATTATTAACCCCATTTATAATAATCTACTTGAATTTTGTTTGAATCTTGTTTTATTTCCTTTGGACTTTTCAGATGAAATCTCTGGTGCTCAATAAATGCAAATAACAGGGTAACACATGTGTCAAAGGAGGGTGCTTTAATAAATTATTGTAAATTTAGGGAGAATTAATTCACCCATCTTCCAAAGAAAGGCAGTGTTTTTCAGTAACTGATTTTGCTGGAAAAAACCTGAAGACAACAAAAGAAATTAAAATTAAACTAAACTAAAACTAAAATCATTTCCAATTATGTTGATGGCTGTAGCTACAATAATGTTGTAGTTACCATGTGTTTGGTACGTGGTTTGATAAAAAGATTTCTGGTACTTTTTATCTAAGGATCTTAATATGTTTTATAGGTTTTCTTCTCATAGTGGATCTACTGGAGTTTATACTGTCCTGATTCTTCAGAACAAGAGGAATAGACACAACCAGAAGTCACATCCGGGAAGTAAGAAGCATTATTGCTTTCAACTTAGTTGTGGTTCACACACTGCATGTTAAAAGAAGTACATTTTATCATTAATATTTCAGCATTAAGCTCTAATGAGGTGGCTTTTAAGTTTTTAAGTATTGCTAACAGAATAGATGGTAAATTTGAGACTAAATTTTGAAAGACTAGTCCCAGACATGGATCAAGTTAAAGTCAAGATTCTGTATTTCTATTTTTTGATGATAACTTCAGAAAGACTTCCTCTAATTCAAAACTTTATTTTAAATGTGGAGAAAAGTAGTTGTGAAACATTGCTTCTGAAATTGGCAGCCTGTTTTTTAAATCATAGTTTGCATGTTCAATATTTTAAAAAAAGCTTTGTGCTTTGGATAGATCTAGAGAAGTTAAAAATTAAAATGAAATTCTACATCAGCAGTCTCAGCTACAGTGGAGGGAAATCCTATTGGTGAATCTGAGATGGGTCCCATGCAACTGTATTTTTATGTCTCGCTGCGGATAATACTGAGGCATAGCCAAGAGACCTTTCCTGGGATTCCTTTAGTGCCAACAATATACTGCCATGTCACTGGTCTCTCTTATGCAATCTTGACTTTCAGCAAAAATGGCAATAGCGGGCTGGGGATGTAGCTCAGCAGCACAGTGCCTGCCTGGCAAGCTCAAGGTCCTGAGTTCAATTCCTGATACCAAAAAAAAAAAAAAAAAAAAAGGAAAGAAAAAAGAAAAAAATAATAAATGGCAGTAATGAAACATCCCACCAATACTGGTTTGTACTACTCCATTCATTTTACCAGTCAATATAAAATCCTAGTTGATAGGATTAGAGGTCCCATTCAATCCAGCTATTTCCCTCTTCGGTATTTTTCCAGATGAACTGAAAACATCATATTACAGTGATATATGTGCATCCATGTTTACAGCAGTGCAATTTGTAATAGCCAAATCTGGGAAACAACCCAAATGCACATCAACTGAGGAATGGATAGAAAAGATGTGGTATTTTTATACAATGGAGCATTACTCAGCTATAAAGAAGGATAAACTCAAGGCTTTTATAGGTAAATGGATGCAATTAGAGACCATACTCCTAAGTGAAATAAATCAGACCCACATGTGTAAACATCGTATTGTCTCCCTAGTGAAAGAACCTGAAAGAGTAAATAAAATCTGAAAGGTACAATAGATATTGTGAAAGGGAAAGAAACTGCTCACAAGGAAAGAACAACTGGGATGAGGGAAAAGACAGAAAGAAGAAGAAAGGGAAAAATATGTACATATATACACACAGGATAGCTAAGATAATTGTACTACTAATTTGTTTATTGAAAGGAACAGTTAATGTTTAGTTGTTTGGTCAATCTTACATGCCTATATTTGGTTGCCTGAGTAACCACTTTGAAGATAACAATATGTAATACAACAACCATTGTTAATTTCCTATCACCTTGTTTTGAAATCCTGCATTGTTTTTATTGTTTTTGTGTTGTTTTGTTTATGTCTTTGTATATGTCTTTGTTTTTGTTAATTTGTTTTTGTTCTTTTCTCTTTAAAATAAAAATAAATTAAAAAATAAGTCCTAGTTGATATTTAAATGCTTATGATTTGAAAAGTATCTGAAGTTAAGATTCCATCTAAGATAAATCTGTCCCCATCTTACTTTTCTTTAAGTCATACGTTGGAAGGGTTGATCACAAAGGTTCCTCACAGCCCTATGGTTTTTATGGCTTAGGTAAGGAGGGGCCCTGAGCACTAATGGAATCAGGTTTCTGAACTGTGCTGAGCTACATCTCAGTATTCGATAAGATCTCATGCATATGGTGGCAAAAGCCTGGTGGATGATATTTAAGAAATGTTTCCATGGCACTAACTGATCTTCTACCACAAACACAATAGCTTAGAATCTACCAATATAGAGCCAACAGAATTAGTCTGTTTGACCAATTCTCTATTAATGATGATTAATTTCCAGTTTTTAAATCCCTTTTTCTGATATCTTTTCTCTCCTCAACAGGTACGATGTTTAATTTCATGTGTCGAATTTACTGAACGATGAGGTGCCCGGGTACTTGGGCAAGCTTTATTCTGGGTATTTCTGAGAGTGTTTTGGGGTGAAATTGCCATTTAAATCTGTAACTGGGAAAGGAAATTGCCTCCCTCACGTGGGAGGGCCTCCTCCTAGCAGCCGCGGGCCTGGCTAGCACAACGCCTGCCCATCCCAGAGGAAGAGGGAATTCTCCGGCCCGATGGACTCTGGACCAGGATGTGGACTCTTGCTGCTGTTGAGACTTGCACTGGGAATCAGCTCTGCACATTTCAGACTGCCTAACCCTCCATGACGGTGAGCCATTTCCTTATTCTAAATCTCTTCATGTTTGTATCCGTGTAGACACTCTGTCTTTTCATGTGCTTCTCATGTTGATTTGGTTTTTGTGGACAACCCTGGCTAATGCAGTATATAATGAAGACCCAAGGTTTCCAACCTTTCTTTCTACTGTGACTTTCTTGGCAGATAGAGGTTTTGAAGAACTTACTGAAATTTTTTTCATGTCTTTTTTGAAAAATGAAATCTGTGACATGCTTGTTTTAGTATCATCTAGAGCAGGGTTGTTGACATTTCAGGTTGGATAATCCCTTGATGTGGGGCGGGCCCGGGCACTGGAATGGCTAGCGCCACTCCTGGCCTCAGCGGTCTCGCCACCATCCAGTTGTGATGGACAAACTCACCTCCAGGCATCGCCTGAAGTGCCCGGGAGCAAAACTGCCCCAGTTAGCAAGTGCTGGTGCACACACCCATGGTGTGACTCAGGCCGTTACGCAAGTTAGCAAGAGTCTGTAGCCTGAAATAAGTTTAAATAGAAGATTGTCCAATAAAAATAAAGTTTAATCAAGGGCAGCCATTGCAAAGCATTTGGAGCTAGAGTGCAGGAACGCAGCTGCACAACACAGGGATATTACAGTAAATAAGAAGCACACTTTGCTGTTCCTCTATTTTTCAATGCCGTTCTACCATTTTTTAAAACCAGGATTGAAACCAAAGCCCACGCAGAATCAGAACGCTACCCTTCCTGTTGACACATCCTCTGTGATGGAGCTTGCCCGCCGGTCAAGCAAGGGTGTTAAGCCTCTCAGCAGGCTGGGTTTGGTGGGGTCTGAAATGAGCTTAAGTACTAGTGGCTCTAAGTAAACTAGGAAGTAGGAGGAAATAAAGGTGGAATGGCCGAGAGGTTCCGTTAGACATGTCCCCCTGCAAAGGGGAACGCCCTCAGTTATCCCACCAAATGCTCACATAGGGGGTGGGATTACCATCTGCAGGCAGTCGGCTCTAGGAGGGGAGATGATCCTAGAGAACCCACATGGGTTCATCCAATCAGTCAAAAGTCCTTAAAAGCAGAACTAGTTTCTCTGAGAATGAAGAAATCCCACCTTTGGGCGGAGGTGCGCTTCTGCCCCAGATCTGCCAACATGTAGGCTGCCTCTGCAGATTTCAGATGTGCCCAGCCGGGCTTCACAGCGGAGGAAGTAACACCTTGCAATAATTACTCTCCCTTTACCTCCCTTGTTCTCTCCCTCCCTGCCACCCTTCCTCCCTCCCCTCTTTCTGTCTCTCAGTGGTCAAACTGATTTACACCAGAGTGCGGACACCACTGTTCTCGGGGGACGTAGCGAGGACGGGACCCCGTCTCATTTATTTTGCTTCCTCTTGGAGGCTAACATGTAGCTCTTAATAAATGATAAATTGAATGAAATCACTGAAAATGGTTCTGGAGGAAATTAAACAGTGTCTTGAATATTTCCGTGAGAAAGTAGGTCATTTATTACGAAAAAATACATCATTTAGCTTTCAAAATAAAAAATTCATTATATAAGTAATAGACTCACACTAGTGAAATCCAGAAAACAGAAGACAAGAACACCAATAAGTTTATGATCCTAACATAACACATGCTGGTATTCCAGTGTATTTCCTTCAGCTTTCCCTGCTGGACCCCGACCCTATGCATATGTAGTTTTTGTATAGTGCTTTGCATACTGTATGAAATTATTATTATGTTTTGCTTTCCTTCCTGTTATTACTTAATCTTCATAAGTCCTCTCTCTCATAGTTTGGCTATTTAGGTAAAATTAATTTATGCCCATTGGCAAGGTGTACTTTTATTGAACCCTTTTTGGGTATCAAGCCTTGGACCATGCATTTTGTATGGTTTATCTGTTTTTATCCTCAAGACAAGTACGTGGAGTCTTTGGGAAGTATTGTTTTCATCTCTGCTGTACAGATGAGCGTGCTGGGCCTGGGACTTGTTTTTGTTTCTCTAAGTTTTGTAGGGATTGAGATGGAACCCAGGGCCTTGCCCACGCTAGGCAAGTGCTCTACCGTGGAGCTACATCCATAGCCCTGGTACTGGAACTTGTAAAGACTGTGTCCAGAATACCAGATGGGAGAACTCCTGAAGAATATCTTCCTTCTATGATCCTGTCTCTTTCTGCTAATTTTCATGCTCTTTTCTTTTGAGATGAAAGACCTGCAGCTTATGGAAGAGCCTTCCTTTTTTTTATCTTGTTCTGTAGAGAAGAGTATGTACGAAGACTTGACATCAGGCTCTATATTTCTCCATCCATTGTGAACTCGGCACAGTGAAGCCTGCCTTTTTTCTTCTAGATGCATGATTGTTGATGTCTTACTCCTGTTCATGTTTTCAAATTGAGTTTACATTCTAATAGTTTTGGTGAGGACAAAGCTGTGGTGTTTTTAGGTATGGGGTTGGTCACTGGTTGCTACACCTTTTTTTTTTTGCTATACCATTTGAAATCCACATGAGCAGATATATATTGGAGCAGACAGAAAAAGTGCCAAATGGTCATCCGACCCACATGGAAGGACAGAAAGTAAAATTAATAAGTTAATAGATTAATTTAGTCCAGCTATTGCTCAATGTTCAAGCATTAATAATGGGCATCGTCAGTTTGATCATAGATAATTTTTGGTAAGTAGTAACTCCAAATGCAGAATTCTCTGTGTTTGGGTATATTTAAAGAGGCACTATGAATTCTCCTTGTCTTTTCCATGTGTGTTCAACACGTCGAAGCAAATTGTGCCACACTGAAGTAAAAGATTCTCAGTATGACATTACCATTGGGAATTTTAAGCATAAGTTCACTTCCTTAGCTTTCAAGCATTCCTGTATATTGCAAATAAGAATGTCACACAAATAATAACTGTACATTGTGAGGTAGATGCTGGCCATGGACATATTTTCCTACTTTACTTTGAGCCTAGACTATTCAATTTTTCCTGTTAAATGCTCATATCTAACTTGATATTAATAGTCTGAGCCTGGCTAGTTCATGAATCAGGTTCACTGTCCTCTCCCATCTATTTTTTAAATAAATGCTTTAAAACTGGGGGAGAAGGTTTTGGCCTAGAGGCTTTCTGGATGTACTTCCCAGGAAACCATATATGTTTTTCTGACCACATCAAAGACCAACTCAGCCAGAGAGCAACTAGACCTTCCCCAGCAAAAGAGCTTTGTTAGATGACAAGCCATCTAGAAGATACTTAAGGAGGTGGCAGTGTCCTTTCTTTGCCAGACTAGCTTGGCAAAGAAGTTCTCCAATTCTGTAGTAACGAGAAGCTGGAGAGTTACCTGGAGTTGCACCTTTGTACCAGCATGGTTCATAGAACTGATGTACCAGGAGGTTCACTTAGGGTACAGTTTTACTGTGATGTAGAAAATCTAAAATGTTATGATTTTATGTTTTCCCCAATTGGCAACAGGACTGAAAATGGTCCCTGGGGTAATTGCTTCATACATGCTATGAACTTGCCTCTGTCAGCATCTAAAAAGATGGCTCAGTAGAAACTTTAAATCTCCATTGGAGTCTGCACTCATGTAGTCTCATAAACAAAGATGCTGAAGATGGTGTTGTTTGGCCTGGTGGATAATCACCTATTTATTTTTATGCCTTTAAGTTAGAAAGAGTACAGATGTGATAGATCTCAGGAGAACTCAGAGAAGCCCTCCTGGCCTTTCACAGGGACAGCTGTGCTCAGTGGTGTAACTGCAGTGATCCCTGCTGACTCACCTATGTCACAGATGTGGCCACAGCCTCAATTTAGACACTGCATGTGTAAGGCCTTGAAAAACTTTAAAATACAATGAAATGCATGGTAGGGTGACTATAGACAACAGTGGTGTACATTTATTCACAAAGCAAGAAGAAAGGATTTTGAAAGTTTTTTTCCCCTGGGTACTGGAGATGGAACACAACTGAAGGTTTTTAGTATAAAGAAATGGTGAATGTCTGAAGGGATGTATGTAACATGATTTAATTATCACACAACATATACAAAAATATCACTTGTTACAAAGAGTCCATCAAAAAATATATACACACTTCTGCAGCTTTCCCTACTAATAAATGCCGGCTGTACTAATAAATGTTTGCCATATTAATAAGTGGCCACCACTCTGAGCACCTCTGGGAGAAGCCAAAGGTAACTTGTATTAATCTCATGATATTATAATACATTTAGTATTAAAATATTCATACAAGTTTTTCTTACCCTGAAGTATGTATATATTTTGAGGGGACTTTCTCTATACATAATTTTATGTCTTTATATAAGTTAAAATGAATTTAAGTAAAATGCTATGAAATATTAGGAAGAACTCTTTACAGAATACTTTTCTTATTTTCAGATGTAAGATATGCAGTTCATACACTTGAACAGACTGTAGCTGGTTGAGGTAGACCAGTAGACCCACTGCAGCAGTTAGGAACAACTGGAGTAACTACAAAAATTATATTTTTAAAGACATCAGAGAATTATGGAAGAAATGAGTCCTAGATGCCTGAAGTTAGAGAAAGGAAAAACCTCTTTCACAGGAAAGTGATGACTGACAGCTTTGTTCTGGCTCCAGGGGCACTCACTTATCGATCTTGGATGCAGAGGGACAATGATAACAGCAAAGCTTTAACCAACGTGGGACTGCTGGGATGAACTGGGACTTTGTGTCCCCCTCAAAGCTTCATGCCTTCATAGGTGGGGCTTTGCCTGGATGATGGGTATGTGATGCTGGGTGGGGGGTGTGTGATACTGGATTAGTTCACTGATTGGTTTAGAATAGTTCTAGTGGATGATGGATTTAACGAAGCGGGAAGACCCACCTGAGTGTGGGTGGCACCAACCAATAGGCTTGCAGCCTGGGTGGAATAAAAAGGGAAAGCCGAAGGAAGGCTCGCTTCTGTTTTGTGGGAGGAGCTCCCGTCTTTGCCTTCTCCTGGGGTGTCTGTCTCCTGGCTTCCAGTGCAGTCCCTTCAGCCTTGCAGTGCAGACCATTTAGCCTCTTAAGACAGACTTGCATGGGACTCTACAGTGAGCTCCAGGCCTTTGACCTTTGACTGGATCCTTTGTGTCCTCATCACACAGACAGTCCTTTGGCACTCTTCCATAGCTGACTCTGCAGGCAGCCATTGTAAGCCAACCTCATAACTCCTCTCTATATTTATGTATCTTATAGTAAATCTGTTTCTCTAGTGAGACCTGACTAAGGGAGCTTTTGGTACCAGAGAAGAGGGACTGTTGCTGTGACACTACCTGGCCATGTGGTTCAGGAGCCTTTGGAACTGGCTTGTGGGAAGAGTTTGGAAAGATCCCATTGGAGTTGCCTGTTGGAAAGGCAGCTGTAGAATGCTGTAAACTGACCTTGATGGGAGATTTTTGTTGAGAGATGGTTTTTAGTCAGCTGTACCTTGAGAATCAAGAGCAAATGGCCCAGCAGAATGATTAAAAAGTTTTGAGTTTGGCCAGAAAGGAAGCTCCTGTAAAATTGCAGCCTGAAAAGATGGAGGAGAGAACCTGGTTGCTGAAAAGATTAACATTAAAAAGCTAAGTAGAGTAAAAGCTTGGTTTGTGAGTATAATTCATTCTACAAATATTCTCATAATCCAAAAACACTCATATATAAAAGTGAATTTCCCCATAAGAAATAATGGAAACTCAAATGACTTGTTCTACAACCCCAAAATATCCATATTGAAAATGATTTTATAATACTATAATATTAATAAAGAAATGATAAAGAAAATATAAAATATAAAGAAAAATAAACAACTTAAAACAACGTTGTATGAGGGAGACAAGAGAGAGGTGGATTATTGTCTAAGATGACTTTCCCTATCACAAATGGAATCACTGCTATCTATCAGCTCAGTGGAATCTTTTTCTTTTCGCGCAACCTTAATGAGGAACCTGTCCAATGATGCTTGCTTTCGTCTTCTTTTGAGGATTTTGTGGAAATGTGACATTGCAGTCACTAAACAGATTTATGGCTTACACTGCTACAGCCTTATTTGGGTGGTGCACTTCTACAAAATTTTGCAGTGTTTCCCGCATTTCCCACATCTCTCTAATCTCATTTGAAATGCGGGATTCCTCCACCTTTTTCTCCTCCTCCTCTTCAGATGAGATCTCTATAAGCTGTTGCTCTGGGGAGATGATCACAAACAATCCTGCAGAGAAAGAGATAGAGAGAAAGAGAGGGAGGGAGGTAGGGGGAGAGAGGGGGAGAGAGAGGGAATAACTGGGTCAGTTCTGATTATGTGGTTTTTTGCATCATCACTTGTTTATTAAGTTAAAATTTAGTAGAATTATTCACTCATCTTGCAGAGCACTCACAGAACAAGTTACTCACAACCTAAGGTTTTATTGTACTTTGGAAAAGGACAATAGGTAAGATGGCCTGAGGATATCAAAAGAACCAGCAGAACTCCACCCTTTTCAGACTCAAAATTGCAAAAGTGAAAGACTTTGCTTTGAGAAGAGCCCCAGAACACCACATTCCAGAATTCTGGAAGCCTAGGGAATTTGTTCTTCAGGATTGGATTTATAGCACTCAGCAATCCAGGCACTTGGCCCCTACAGCTAGGAGAGAAGTCTGGCAACTGTTTCAGTTGGCAGCAGACCTTGGCATCATCTACATGGTGTTGGTTTTAGACACATGCAAAATGCAAGGGTTGTGGAGTCAGGAAGGCTTCCACCCAGATTTCAAAAGATCTGGGAGACCAGGCAGTGTGCCCCTGAGACAGCAGTGTGTAAAGCTGTGACTGTGAAGCTAAAAGTGCAGTGGAGACCCCAGAAAGTTGGAGAAGCCAGAAACATTGATTATCTGAGGAAAGCCCCAGGAGTGAGCAAATCTGGCATAAGAGAGAGACTATGAAGGCTACAACCACCTGCAATACCATAGAGCAAGGACCATACAAGCCTTTTGGAGTTCGTGCCTTGCCACAGATTGCCCTGGGTGCTAGACATGGATTTAATGTTTATCCTACTGGATTTTGGTCTTGCTTTGGTCTCATTTCTATCCCCTTATTTTTACCTTTTGGAATGAGAGTACTTAACTTGTGCCATTGTGTATTGGAAGCATTTAACTTTCTTTTTGTTTTTACAGGGGCTTGCAGGTAATAGTTTGCCTTAAATTGCAGAGAATTTTCACTTGGAATTTTCAAATGGAAAAGTCCAACTGAAACTGAAACTTTTAGGACTTTGGCAACTCTTGGAGCTGAACTAAATGCATTTTGCAAAGGGATTCATTTGCATGTTTTGGGGGGCAGGGAAGAATGTTATATCTAGGGGTCTCATGCACTGATAATGGGGCTTTTGGGGAGTGGCTGGATGATAGGTATATGATACTGGATTGTGGGTATGGAATAGCTAGTTTAGCATAGTTCTGGGTGTGGGTAATGGGAAGGCACCACCTCAAAGGCTTGTAGACAATCTGTGCAAAAGAAGAAAGGGGAACACACTGTCTTGTGGAATATATCACGTGGAGCCTTCTTTTCTCTTTGTTAATGATCAGTTTCCACTATTACACATTCTGAGCAGTTAATGAAAGAGCCAGTCAGCTTTTTTTTGTTTGTTTCAGAGTATAAAGATAAAATAGTATTATTCCTGTAAGTGCAAGTAGCATTATTCCTTTCATGACAAAGTTTATTCCATTCCTTTTGAGATTCAGTATTGCATTACACTTCGGTTGTCTAAACTCTTTCAGAGTACACTTTTAGAAATGTAATAAATATTAACAGTTCTTCCACATCTACACTGAGGAAAATATTCTTTTAAAAAATGAAATTAGGATCTCACAACATGTTTACTATCCTTTTTGTTCTTTTTGAAGCCTCTACTTCTATACACAATGTCTGGCATACAATCATTAATACCTAGACATGCAAAGGGGCAAAAATATTAATGATAATAAGATAACAATAACAAACAAACACCAGAAAGACATCACATGATAAAATTGTTGGGCTTACTATATTAGGAATGTTAAAATAATGTTAAAGAAAAGAAAGAGAGAGATGGAAAGAACAGATGAAAATATGAAAAATTCACAGAAGAATGGAACTCTTGAAGGTCACATGGAAAGTCTAGAAACATAAAGGTCAGTTTTTCAATTAAGAGTTGGGTGAAGTGGACTGAAAGCAGAATAGATATAGTAGAAAGTAGGACCAGTGAATTAGAAGAGAAGTGGGCAGGAAACGTATAAATTGAAGCCCAAACTGAAACACAGAAGGAAAGCTAATACAGATAAAAGTGTAATACACACATCCTTATAGTCTTAGGAAAAGAAAAGAGTGAACAGGGAAGAATAAAAACTTAAAATCATGACTAATAATTTCCCCTAAGTGCAAGACATCAAATATAGATTTAAGCAGCTCAGCAAACCCTATTAGAATAAACACAGTAAACCTACTAGAATAAACACAAAGAAAATTATATATGTAGGGACAAAATATTAAAGTTGCTGAGAAATCAGATATTAAATGAAAAATCTTGAAACACCCAGAGACATAGGACATATTATCTGCAAAGCAGCACCAATAAACTTACAGCTGGCCTCTTAACTAGAATTACAGAAGCTAGAAGACAATGAAATGACAACTTCAGCATGGTAAAATAAACTGTTAGTAAGACTGAGTGTTCCCTCTAAGACTCATGTAATCTGTCAATGCCACAACATTGAAAGAGGGGGCTCTAACAGGTGAGCAGGTTGTGAAAGCGCTGTCCTCATGATGGGTTAGGGCTGTTTCTTGCGATGGGGTTGGTTATTGTGGAGAGGGTTAAGAACAGCAGGGGAGCATCTGGGCCCCTTCCCCCTACGAGCCTCGTATCCTGCGTGTGCTTGCTTGTACTGTACTTCTGCCATGTTATGCCGTAGCAAGAAAGGTCTCACCAAGCGCCGGAGCTGTTCCTCAGACTTCTCGGTTCAGAACCAGGACGTTTCTCTTGTTCACTAATGTCCCCAGTCTGTGGCACTCTGTTAGAGCCTGACAAAGTGGATGAGGACAACTGGCAACAAGAAATTGTATACCGAGTTTAAACACTGTGAAAAGGGGAAATGAACACATTTTAGACAAATGAAAGGGAGGGAGTTTGTGGAGAGCTCAATAAAAAACAAACAACACCAACAAAAACAAGTGCCCCTACCAAGCCAGCAAACAAGAAATCCCACACGGCAGGAACTCATTCCAATGAAAACAGGGAAATACAGAAGAATAAAGGAGAAAGCAAATATAAATGAATATATATTGTACACAAATGAAAGGTGCGTTTCAGAGCCATGTCTTTCATGAAACTAGTACAACCATGATGGAAATCAATACGGAGAATCCTCAAAAAACTGAAACTAGAAACTCCATTTGACCCAGCTATTCCCCTTCTAGGTATCTTCTCGAAAGAGTTAAAGACATCATAGTATAGTGACATGCACATACTCAGATTATAGCTGCAGAGTTTATAATAGCTAACTAACTCTTGGAATCAACCTGTATATACGTAAAGGGATTAGTGGATAAAGAAAATGTGGCATTTACACACAGCGGAGTACTACTGTGTCGTGAGTCATTTATAGAAAAATAGAGGGACCTTGAGACAATAATGTTAAATAAATCAGACACATAAGCTTAAATATCACACGGCTTCTCTTAGATGAGAAACAAAGCATAAATAATTTAAAGAGCAAAAGAAAGGATAATAGGAAATAGGGAGATATTCTGCAAATGGGAAGGAGATATAAGGCTAGAGGAAAGAGAAAGGGTAGTAGGGAAAGGAAAAGCTACAGAGGGCCGGGGATATAGCTCAGCAGCATAAGTACCTGCCTGGTAAGCGCAAGGTCCTGAGTTTGATTCCCGGCACAAAAAAAAAAGTTAAAGAATTAATATGTGTTATGTACATGTACCAACTTCCCATGATGAAGATAATCATTATGTATGGCAATAAAACAAGAGTACAAGCTTTGGAATAAAAAAAAAAAGAACCATGTTTTATATTATGTCTGTCCTAAACAAACTCTAGAACAATGTCTCATGCAAAGTATGGACTCAATAAAATTTTTCTGAATATTTAGTCCCATTCAAAAAAGTTCTGGCCTAGTCAGAAAAGCAATTATTATAGTATGATTTTTTTGTTGAAGAGAGATAATAAGAATTAGATAATCTTACTCCTTTAATAATTTTCTCTATCATTTTTTAATCTTATCTTTCACCACATTTATATATGACTTTTATGTGTTTAAGTCACAAGTCTCATTTTATTCCCCTTAAAATAATTTCTGCTCCCTTAGTTTTTCTATTCTTTATATGTGCTATGTTTTTAGTTCATATCTACTTATTACAGTGTTGTAACTTACATTTAAGTATCCACGGAGTCAGTAAAAATCACAGGACCAGAAGAAATGAAGAGGACAGCCGCTTCATTAAACCAGCATCCTCATTACCGATAATAAAAAGGGGAGTTGGAGATGAATGCAGAAACTGCAGGCCGATAATTCAGGGAGAATGACCAGAAATTCGGCTTAAGTTGGGGAGAAGTAGGAGTGGAGTGCTGGAAAAGAATAATTAGTGACAGAAAATACTGGGGAAGGTAGACTCTCATTCTAAGGGGAGTTATAAACTGGAGAGAGAGGATTTTCGTGGTCGTTAAACACTGCTTAGCATGTGTTATGTTTGCAAAGTGAAGTAAGTGCGTTGTCTACCCCGCAAATTATCTTTTTATTATTTGTATATATATATTTAATTGAGACACAGTCATTGTAATTTATGGGGTATGACGGAGCTCTGAGACATGTACACATGCAACGACCAGGTCAGGGTAATGGCACAGCTGTCATCTCAAGACATAACATTTCCTTGTGTTGGGAACACTAGAATCCTCTCTGTGCTACTTTGAAATATTCCACCAACTGTCAGGAGGGCCGTCCACCCCGCTGTGCTACCAAGCAGCAGAAGGCTTACCTCCTACCTACCTGCACCTGGTGCCGCAGGACCACCCGCTCCACCGCTCTTTCCCCTCCTCTTTCCTAGGTGCCCAGAGCAATTGTTCTATTCTTACTTTGAGATCAGCTTCAGCTCCTGGAGACTCTTTCGAGGAGGTCACTATCAATCACGCTGGTTACTCTTCACACTTAGAGCAGCACCCCACCTCTGAGAAGGCTTGCAAGGCCCCCAGGATCTGCCCACGGCCATCTCCCTCACTGCACTCACACGAGGCTCTGCTTACCTGCCTTCCGCTGCCACGGCTTCCTGCCTCTTCTTCAGTGGATCAAGCGCGTTCCCGCCTTGGTGCTTGCGGGCTCCCCCGAGGGCCTTTCCTCAGCTGGTAGCCGGCTCAGTCTGTCTTCCTCGGAGTCTCAGTGAGTGCCATCCTCTTAGAAAGCCCTAGAAAGCAGCTTCCCTCCTGTACACAGAACTCCGTTTTGGTTTTCCTGCAGCCCTTGCTGCCGCGATCAAGACCTGTGGTTGCTTGCTTGTTGTCTGTTTCTCTCCATGGAATGTCAGCTCCATGGCACCAAGGTCCTTGGCAGGGAGCTGGAAGTTAAAATGGGTCATGCTGGAGCGACCAAAAGAAGGATGGCGAGAAGTGGAAATAAAGAGGCAAATAAAGCCGTGGAGGTCACACCAGGAAGGAAGCCTGGCAGCTTTCCCGGCGGTGAAGATGGTCAACCGAGGGTGCGCGACGGGACGTTCTGGACCCGCAGTGTGTGGTAACTTGGGAGAGTCCTGCGCTGGACCTGACTAAGGAAAACAAGGCTGACAGAGGAAGGGACGGGAAGCCGCTGCCTCTTGCCAGGCCTCCCAAGGCTGACGACTTTCACGTTTACAGGGATGCATCCTCCGACAGGGGTGGTGGGGAAGTGAGCTGTAATTTCTGCAGCCGCTGGTAAGACCCCTGCGTCGGGTACTGTCTTTCCACGCCTTTCAAACAGAAATCTGTAATCATTTTTTAAAAATTAAACTTTTTTGGCAAACAAATAATATATTCAAAAAAGTGCATACCATCAAGCCCCGTCCCCAGCCCTGGCCCCACAGCTACACAATGCTGTCATTCCAAAGACAACTAGTGGTGATATATTTATTTCTTGTGTGCATTTCTAGAGCTATTACTCGTGTGAGTCTATACCTCTATCTATGTCATAAAAGCCTTCCCTATAGGATATAACTGATGGCATATCAGATGCACTGGATTTAATTCTTTCCTTAACAATATTTTTTGCAGAGGAGTCCATATCAGTATCCAAAAAGCTTCCTTAAGTTTTCAAAACAAGCTACGTAAGAATCTATTTTGTGAGTTATAATTAGTTCAACCAGGGATTGTTTTGGGGTGGGGGAGCAGAATCTCACTGTGTCGCTCAGCCTGTCCTTGAACTTGCAACTCTCCTGTCTCAGCTTCCTAAGTGTAGCATTATACGTGTGTGCCATCGTACGAAGCGTACCAGTCAGTCTCTGTGGTTACGTGGCTATTTCTAATCTTTTGCTAATACAAAGGATGCCACAGTGTGGAGCCTTCTGCAAATGTGAGCTTGAACATGTGTGCATAGGAACAGGACAACAGATGCCTAGAAGAGAGATTGCTGGGCCCAAGGCTTGTGCGTTTGGAGTTTGAACACACATTGCTGAAGTACCCTTCCTAAGGGTTATGCAATTTAATCTCTACCAGTAACACAGGAGAGCGCCTGACTCCCCAACCCCTAGCACACAGCATTTTCTTTTCTCTTTTTTTTTGCCATGCTGGGGATTGAACCCAGGACCTTGCAAACGGCACGCAAATGCTGTACCACTGAGCTGCACCTCTAACCTTCACACAGTGTTTCATCTTTTTTTCCTCCCAGTACTAAGGGTTAGATTAGGGCCTTCACAGTGAGCTACATCCCCAGGGAATCTTTTATATTTTTATTGTTTTAAAAGGGGGTCTCACTAAATCACTCAGTTGTCCAGGCTGGGCCCGATCTTTGGTTTTTCTGCCTCAGCTTCCCAGGGTGTTGGGATTTCAGGCATTAGTATTTGTCAGATTTGCTAAAAATTGTATGTTGGCATAGTTGTACTTTGCATTACTTTTATTACAATGGAGTTGAGCATAATAACTAATGTTCGGGCCAAGTGTGGGGGCCCACACCTGTAATCCCAGCACTCAAAGGCTGAGGTCGGAGGAGGATTGCTACAAGTTCGAAGCCAGCCTGGGCTACAAAGTGAGTTCAAAGACAGCCTGAGCTGCATAGCAAAACCCTGTTTCAGAAAGACCAAACAAACAAACAAAAAAACCTAATGTTAAGAACCACTTGTATTTCTTTTCTATAAATGGACTATTCTATTATTAGTGTTTTTCTTTCAGTCCTTTAAATATTTCATCCCACTGTCTTCTTTGTTGCATGTTTATTGAAGAAAAGTACACCGTGATTCATAATCTTGTTCATCTATAGTTAAGGTGCCTCCTACACCAACCCTTTTCAATAATATTCTTTGATTACTTACAGTTTGAATATGACAGGCCTAGTTGTACTTTTTTTCGTATTTGTCCTGCTTCACGTCTTCTGAGCTTCCTAGATTGGTGCTTTGGAGTCTGTCATTAATTTGGAAAATCCTCAACCATCCTTCATATTTTCTTCTGTTTTTTCCTCCTTCTTTTTGTGTACCTCTTACACACGAATCACCCTTCATGCAGTTGTCCCACAGGTCTGTGACATTCTGATCCATCTCTTTTGTTGTTGTTCTTGTATTTCAGTCTGAGAAACAAACCTTCAAAGTCACTCATTCTTTCTTCCGCGCTGTTGGCTCTGCCAATGAGCTCATCGGGGGCGGCCTGTGTTTCTGCCACAGTGTTTCTGACACCTAACACTTTGGATTCTTGCTTTTAGTTGCCGCTTCTCTGCTTCCGCGAGTGATCTGTTCTTGCCTGTGTCCACGTTTTCCACTGGAGCCTTTTTGCACGTTAACTGTTATTTCAAGCTTTCAGGGTGAGAATTCCAGGGTTTCTGCTGTAACTCAGTCTGGGTCTTGCTTTGCTTCATCTCGTAGGATGTGGTATTTTTTTTTTTTTGTTGTTGTTATTGATTGCTTGCTTGCTTCTTTGCCTTTTCATATGCCATATGTATTTCTTTATGAAAGCCGGATGGGAGGTTTTGAATTAGTTTCTGAGGTAGAGAGGCCCCGAGTGTGAGATCTAATATTTCCCTAGCTGAATGTACTGCTTGCTGTGGTTACAGGTGTCAGACTAAAATTTTTTTAGGGTTTCTTAGAGATCACTTAAATAGGGTCTAAATCTTTTTTTCCAGTGCTGAGGATTGAACCCATGCTAGGCAAGCATTCTTTGTCACTGAGCTACATCTCCAGCCCTTTTTCTGTTTTGAGACAGGGGCTCACTAAGTTGCCCAGGCTGGCCTTGAACTTGTGCTCTGCCTGAGTAGCCAGGATTACAGGTGTGTGCCCTTGTGCCCAGCAGGGCCTTAACTCACAGTCCCTTTAACTCTCCGCTATGCAGGAGTTCTCCCGATGAGACGGCAAGGTGTGGAGGTGAGGGTGTGTTTCATGTTACTGTGCTTACCTCTGCTGGCCTTATGCGGGGACTGGAGGCGGCTGGAGTTGGCTACTTCTAGATCCTAGCTTAGGCTCTGTTAGCTCTGGTAAATGGTTTTCCTTGAAGGCAACTGCTGGGTATGTTTCACATGGTTATGTTGCCCTCCCTATAGGGAATTTTCCTCAGGTCTTCACTGTGGGATGCTGGTAGGCATCCTGACACAAAACATAGGAAAGTGTATGGATCTCCTGAGACTGGGCACAAGTGTTCATTCTTTTGCTTGGCAGTGTTGGGGGTTGAACCCAAGACCTCTAGGACGCTGGGCAGGAGCTCCATCGTTGAGCTATATCCCAGGCCTCAAGTGTTCCCACTGACATGGCCCCAGCTAACTGTGACTCCGCGTCTGTTTGCCTCTCCGGGTCTCAGGGCAGCAGCCTGTCCCGTGACCTCGGTTATCCGCAGAATCTTAGAGGAATTCTTGATTTTCAGTTTGTGCAGTGTTTTTCTTGTGTAGATAGGAGTGACGACTTCTAAGCTCTTCACACGTCAGAGCAGACAGCAGGCGTCGTAGTTTTCTTACTGACTGGAAGGAGCGCTTATCTAAGTGTGAAATTAGTCCTTCTTGCTGTGGATGCACATTTTAAAAATTTCCCTGTTCATTTTTTGAATTTGTTCTGCCCTGCCATGCAGGTCAGAACAGATTTTATGTGTGGTTGCTCAGGACTTACAGTCTCTTTTAGACATTTGGATTCTGTGACACACTTAGAAAGGCCTTCATTACGCAGGTTATACAGGCTTTCCCACTGTTTCTTTTAATACTGCTCACGACGCTACTTTAGGATTTAAATGCTTGCTTCGTTTGGGTTGCACCCTCATTTAAAGTACGAAGAGTAAATACTTCTCACCTCCTCTGGTTGCCTATTCAGCTGTTTCAAAACCGTTTTCTCAATCCTTCACTTCCCCCTATGGGCTGACAATTATCTGTTAAACTCCAATATGTATTCGGTTGTATTTTTAGACTCTCTGTTCTGTGTTACTGCTGTATCTATTATATATATGCCAATATGAATTATGTAATCATGTATTATAAATTATTTTATTTATTGAAGCTTTAAATTATTTAAAGTTATTGTATGGCTAGTTACCTCATTTTTCTTGTCCAACATTTTCCTGTCAAGTTTAACTTACTTTTCTATATTATTTTTAGCAGTAATATGTCTACATTAAAAAATCTTGCTGGTACTTTTATTGTGGTTATGCTTTGTAAGTTAATCTAGGGAGGATGGAATATTTCTAAAATTGAGTTTTTCTACTTAGGAGTATTATATGCCTTTTCATTTGGTCAAGTCTTATTTTGCATCTCTAAAGAGATTTAAAAATTTCTTCCAATAGATCCTGCACATTTTTTGTTAATTCTATTCCCAGAGATCTTATCTCTTACTGTTTTTCCTTTGTTGCAACTGGGGTCTTTTCCTTCATCGTACCTTCTATCGGGAGGTTGTTATATACACCCAGTGTAACTGTTTGTTGAGTTTATATGCTTGCTATTTATTTCTATTTATTTTGTGAAAACATATTATTTAAAAATTAAAGACATTGGCCTATCATGGTGCAAGGCACTGAGGGGAGTCTGACGTCCGAGACCTTGGCCTCCCCTTTTTCAGGGCTGTGGAAATGCTCCTGTTACTTAATCTTAGAAGCCGGGTTCCTCATTTGTAAAATGGGGTAACATAGTACTCACCTCACAAAGCACAAAAGTACCTCTAGAGTCCGAAACACAGGAAGAAGTCAGTAAATGCTGGCTGCAATGCTGCTACCCTGTTACCAAGCTCAACCGCGCCCACAGAGTCAGACTGGGAATAGGCTTCAATCTTCCCAAGCCGCCCATTGTCCGTTCCATCCGCTCACTCTTCCTAAGCAGAAGTCCACGAGCGGGCTGCGGGGCTGTAGAGGGGGTTACACTTATGGGAAGGGAGTGAAAGGATTCTCTGCTGATGTGCATTGCGGGAGGTGTCCAGGGAAATTAAAGGGGACACAAGTTATGAACAAAGCAGGGGAGGTGAAAGAGCTTTCTTTTCTCAAGTGGCCACCTTAAATTTATGGAGGATTTTATAGCTTACAGGTCACTTTATACACGCACTAGACCAATTTTAGCTGGGGAGTAGACCCCCACTGGGGCCTGCGGCCATGCAGCGGGTAGGCTGGGGGCTGGACGACATGCTCGGGAGGTGGACTCCTGGTTGGGTGTTCATTCCTTATCATACCCCTCTTCACTTGTGATTTCATCCCATCTAGGTCTAAGTACTGAATTGACAGCAGAAAAGACAGATGAAAAACATGATAGAAAACCGAGGAAACACATTTTGAGAAGAGACAGCAGAATAGAGTTCTGGGAATTGAATCAGTAGTAGAATTGCTGAATGGATACACGCAGAAATTCATAGGGGAAGGATACTTGATCTTAGTCAAAAGGCCAAGGGGGCGATCACTGGGGAAGAACTCTGTAGAGAAGAATCTAACGGAGGGCGTGTGCTGTACTACCTGTTTTGTGCACACCTTTTCTTTTATTCTCTTCTGGGGCAGCTGTTATTCAGTCAGCTACACCACACACCTCTAGAAAGCAAGGCCGCAGGCTTATTCCAGCTGGTGAGCACCAATACCTTCCCGTAGGGACTCCAGGTCAGGGCAGGCCTGTGAAGGGAGCTAAGGGTGTCAGTCCCAGAGCGGGGTGAGTGCTGGGGAAAGGCGATGCTGTCAGGGGAGAGAGGGAGGACCACCGGCCAGGCAACGCAGCTAGCGGCTGAAATTGGGGGTGCAGGTGACACGTGGACTGGCCCAGCTGCAGTGGAAGAGAGCAGCCCGCAGCGGGAGGCTGCTTCTACCTGTAGAAGTGCTTCATCAGCTACTTTGCCCTCTCTCGCTGCTGCAGAGCTTTAGAAAAGTGACAGTCACCACGCTGCAGGCTGCAGGGCTCCGAAGCGGCCGCGGTCTTTGCTCATTGGACGACAGTCTAAATTCAGACCTCAAGAATGTGGCTGCGGACAGCTGGTGGAAACAGTCCCAGCCCTGTCCCCTGGGGCGGTGTCCACGTGCTGCTCCCCCCTCACCACGCGTTCCGGGTCTCCATCTCCGCCTCGCCCCCGCCTGCCTTCCATTAGTTTGTCTTAAAGTAGCCCAGCCTGGTGCATTGTACCCAAGCGGTCAGGGACACCCGTTTCACGGGGCGCTGCGCCGCCTCTGCGGTTAATGAGAGCTACTCGAGCGGTTTAGGAGAAGTGGCGCTTCCTCCCCAGCTGCTTCTATCTGCCACCGGGCAGTTACGTTAAAGCGCTTCCGTCGGTGACTGCAGTAAAATCCGCGGGGCAGGGCCCTCCTCTAGGAACTCGTGAGCGAGACGCACCGAGCCGGTCCCCAACACCCAATGGGCCTGGACTGCGGCAAAGGGGTGTGGGAGGGGAAAGGGGGAGGACCACCCGGCCCCTCTCTTCTTCCTGCGCGCCTGCGGAGCTCGCCCCGCACCCCGAGGACAGAGGAAGGTCACTCCAGGTCGCCGGCACGTCCTGCACCCCCGAAATCTGCAAATTCATTGCTCCCTGCATGTTGGGGGGAAACCCTCCCGCCCGGAGCAGGGGCCCTTAGCTGACCGGGGGCAGGTCTCACTCTGCCGGGTGACAAGGCTCCCCCGCAGGGGTCTTATCTCTGCTTTGGACTTTGCCTCCGACTCGCGCGCGCTGCGCTCAAGTCTCGGCAACTTTCTCCATCTTGCCCGCAGAGTCGGGGCATTTCTAAGACAACGTGAAGAAAGAGCAGCAGAGGAAGGAGCCAGGGCCCGCGGGCGGGCTGCGGGGCGCGC